TTTTTGTAGGTTTATTAAGGGGGATGAGATTCCTGCTATTTAACTGACGCAGGATGGTCATTTTATTATAGTTCTATGCTATATTCTTTGCCCCACTGAGTTGGAGCCCAGGAAAATAGAGTCTGGAAATGTCAGGCAACAATTTTTGAGGGCATTGAATACTCATATAGTTATAATTGGTCTATTTTTTTTATACAAAAGAAATAGACTCTATCATCTTATGGAATTTTTGAATAGATAGAATTTCTTTCAGAGAGTTTTCTTTTGCCTGTGTGTGCGTGTTGAACCTTTACTTTTCCATGCCAGCTATTGGCTTTGAAGAAAGTACACATATAGGTATCTTTTTCCTCTTCATGGCTTCATTTATAAATCCGGGGGTCTTTGCTTTCCGATTTATGTCCCTCTATCTTTGTAGGTCATACTGTTGATAATTGGATTCTGCTTAACTGTTTAAAAGGATACCAGTGTGTTTATGCAGGGCATCTTGTGCAGAATATTATTGCAAAAAAGCTTGGTTTGCCATAATTTTATTTTGATCCACTTCTTTATTTTCTGTAATCTTCTCATCTGAACTTGTTAACATTGTTATTGGTGTGAATTGCAGTAGCTATCTTTTCAACTTAATGCTGCAAACTGCATTAAAGCTTTGACGAGGAGGCATTGAAGTCCTCTACCTGTCAGCTTGTGCCTTGTATTTTCACCATTGGATGGGTAAATGAATCTATTTTTATGATTTTCTTGTGGTTACGGACATCAGTGTCCTGTTTGTTTTTTGATTAACGAAGCTTCTGCACTCTTGATTGTGTGGTTACCTCCGGTTTCAGCATGTTGTTTCTTCTGATTGGTTGAGTTGGTTTGATAGTCCTACACGGCCATGGCTCTAGAAGAATCTTCTTCCTGTTTGATCCGCTTTACTATTCTGTTTTCTTTTCCTTTGTTTTCAAATTATTTAGAATGACTGTCACCAAACCAAAAAAAAAAAAAAATTTAGAATGAGAATGATTTTAATTTTTCTTGATTTGCTCTGCTGGGAATTTGATTGGACAAGATGGGGCTAAACTGCATTGAACTCTGGTTTCCACTGTTAGAATGTTTTGCAATAACTTTTTGTATTGGGAAAATTACATTAAAGGATGCGAATTTGACAAAAGATCAAATTGAATGATCTCAAAATTTGTAATCATTCCCAATGATCAATAGTTACTACTCCCTCCGTTCCTTATTATAAGAGACAAATAACCGAAGTACGTTGATAAAAAAAACAGTTAAAATTAGTTAAGAACAATTAATGTGTAAAAAGTATAATTTTTTTTCAAAAATGCCCTCATTAATAAGGAGAGAGAGTATGAGAGAAAACAATTAAATTATTAAAAGAAAGAGAAGTGGGAGGGAGAGTGTGAGTTGGAGATAATAAATATGGGTAAAATAGTAAATCAACACAAAAAAGTAGAGACAACTTGTAAATGTCTCTTATATATAGGAATATGCTATAAGCATCAAATGTCTCTTATAATAAGGAACGGAGGGAGTATTAGATTTTTGGGATTTATTATAAGGTTTGAAGGCCACTTAGGAAAGTTACAGTAACTCTTATGGTAACATTTCTAACTTTGGTATACATGAAAAGAAGTTCCTGAAAGGTAAAATGAGTGAGAAAATCTTTCCCTGACATGTTTGGTTCAACAAATCTTGTCTTCTTAGGGAACCATGCTTCCCTCAAGGAATTAGGTCTTCTCCCTTTAGGATGTGTTTGGTTGGATGGGAGGAGATGGAAGGGAAAATGAGCCCCTCTTCTCATTTGGTTAAAAATTTTGGAAGAGAGGGAAGCCAAAATGTTTCCTTCCCAGCTCCCCTCCCCTCCCCTCCCCTCCCCTCTCCTCCCCCATTTTAGCTCCCCTCCAAATGGGGATTTTTGGACTATTATATCTTTATGATTTTTTTGATATTCCATAACTCCCCATAAAATATGTTATTATAATATTTATTTTAAATAAAAAATATATTATCCTAAGTAAAAAATAAAAAATATAAATTATTATAATTAAAAAATATATTATAATAAAAATTAATATAAATTATTATAAAAATAAAAAATTATTTAAATAAAAAATATAATATTATAAAATTAATTTTTTTTATAAATATATTATTTATTAAATATATTTTAAAGCTGAAAAAAGGCATAGCTTAAAGAGAATAAAATTTCAATTTTTTTAGAGCATATAAAATTTGTTAATTTGATTATTTCAAATATATTATTATATTAATTAGAATTTAAAAAATACTATACCAATTTTTTAATGCACATATTAGTATGATAAAATTGAATTTTTATTAAATTATATGATTTAAATTAAGATGTAAATCAATTTATATAATATATCAATAAAAAATATAAACTAATATGTAAGGGTAAAATAGTAAATTGATTATTAATATCCCTCCCCTCTCTTTTTTGAATCAAACAAGGGATCATTAAATATCCCTCCCTCCCCTCTTTTTTAATCAAACCAAATAAGGTGAGGATGAAACCCACCCTCCCCTCCCTTACCCCACCCTCCCCTCCTTCTCCTCTCTTCAAACCAAACAGACCCTTGGGTTATAGAACTGGGTTTCTTTCATGGAATCCAAAGTTTGTCCCCGTTTTGCCCTAAGTTGTCAAATATTCTGTTCATCGGTACGGTTTGTTGCTAAAGCAGTGAAGCCGTTGGGGATTGTGTTCAACACCACCGAATTCAGACCAAGCCCTTGCATAAATTGACGCTGCTGTTTGCATGTTTTTCAACTCATCTGGGTGTTGTACTTGAAGTTTGAAGCCATGAAGCTTGTGGCCTTAACGCCTTTATCCCTCTCCAGATCCATCCGACGATTTTATTTCAATCATATATTTTTGGGTTAATTAATCCGCAAGTCTTTATAGTTTCAATTAATTTTGAATCAAATCCTTATAGTTTTTTTAAGTCTTTACTTTTTATTAAGTCCTTATTACTTTTACTCTATTTTTTCCTTGCATTAGTCTCTAAGTCCTTATAATTTCACTAAATTTTTAATAATGTCCATGTAGTTTTATTTTTTATTTATTAATTAAATAGATTAATACTGAAATATAAATATTAATAATTATATAATAAAAATAAGTAATATAAATAATTAATTCAGGAAAATTTTTTGGAACAATTAATTTTTTTGTTAAAAAAATAAAATTATTATAATAATTCATTATTTCTAGAATATTATGTTTATAAACTAATATTAATAATATATATTATTTTATGTTTATAGAATAGTACTATTAGAATTTATAAAATAAAGAATAAAAAATTCAGGGACTTAATTAAAAATAAAGTAAACTTATAAGGATTTGATAAAAAGAAAAATAAATGCAAGGACCTAATTAAAAACAGGAAAAAGTATAAGGACTTGATAAAAAGGAAAAAAATTATAGGGACCTGATTCAAAATTGATTGAAACTATAAGGACTTGTAGATTAATTAACCCTATATTTTTTTATGTCTAATTTTGACGGATAAACATGTAATTCTTTTACATTATTTTTCCTTTCCAATTTTTCATGCCTTCATAGTGAACAGTACATCTCTTCTCCCTTCTCATTCGTAAATATGAAGCATTTTGGATACGCAAGGAAGGGTTTCATGCCAGTTATTTCTCCTTCTGCTTCCTCCTTCTCCTCTTTCATTCTTAAATACTATCTCCGGTTTTTAATATAATTTTTTTTTTAAATTTTTTTTATCCTATTTATTTATTTTTAAGATAGTCTTTCTAATAATAATAGTTTTAGCAAATAAACTTAATTAGTAAGAATATTTTAAGAAATATAATATTTATTTATTATAAATAACTAATTTAATTTATTTTTTTAATCTACTTAAATTAGTTAATTAGCTCCTATATTTAGGACTGGAAGTGGTATAAATCCTTCTAACCAAATATGATCTTAATATAACTTTTGTCATGCATGAGTCCTTGGTTGTAACTTCCCCTATTGTGTTGTAAAAAAAACCCTCTATGCCTTAGTTACTTATATTTATTGAACGCATCAAAAGTTTGTAGCATGCGGAGAGCTTACACAGAGTAACTATGCAAAGTTGTGAACATAAAGGCAGATATCTCTGATAGGGGACATCATCAGTCGTATTACGTACAAGAATCTTGAACTTCAGAAAATTGTTATCACGGCTTGCTTTTAATTTCACACACTCTCTCTCTCTATAATACTTGTTATGCTCGAAAAATAATAATTATTCAGTAATTTTTATTTTTAAAAATAAAAGTAGGGAAGACTGGAAGGAAAATAATTATTAAAAAGTTTTATAATAACTAAATAGCTGATAAGTTTTAGTGAAAGAAATGGCAATATTTTATTAAGACTTTTTGGTAATTTTTTTTTTTTCAGACCTCATAATTTTTCCATAGAAGTATTAGTCATTTTTTTATGCTCTAAATATCATGTTAATTTTGTTTTCATTGTCCTTTAATGTATGTCCGACGATGTTGCATGATGAGTGTTTGGATTCTGTCGTTATCCGTTTGCATTACATTATTATAGTTCGTATATTTTTTTGAAGGATTAAATTTTTTTTAAAAGATAAAATGAATTAGAGTCTTATATTTAGAACTAAATAAAAAGTCAAACTTGTCCTTATATTAATAATCAAAAGTAATATTTCGGATACTCTTTTGAATATACATTAATCAATTTGATTTGCATTCTAGTTCTCTATCACGTATATAGAATGGAATCATTTCTTTCCGCTGTCATTAAAGAAAACACATACAGAGAGAGAGAGAGAGTGTGTGTGGAAACATGATCAACCGGTAAACATTCAACATTTGATAGTTTTAATTTACTTCTATAATCTATTGAACATTTTTAAAATGCTTACAAGTCTTTCAAGACGGCATCACCTAAAACTCCTGCCATTTCGAAGAGTTGAAAGAATTAGCTCGCACACATACGAAATACTAATATTAAGTGATGATCATCGCCCATCTTCAATCTCAAATGCTATTTTCCTCTGTATGCTATCATAGACAGTTGAAGTGCTAGCGTTAGCATTTCCGTATCCATCAGCTACATGACCAAGCAAGTATTCACATTCCTCAGACATCATATCATCTTGCTTTCCCCAAGGATGTTTTTCCATAGAAATTAGACCCTCTAGTTCCATTGATACTTCTTTCATAGTCGGCCTTTCCTCTCCATTAACCCTGATGCATTTCCTTGCCAAGAAAGCAACTTCTTTTAGCTGCTCTTCATTCTTTTGATCTAACACTCGCTTGTCAAGAATTTCCCACAAGTTGTCTTCTTTCAGTGAAGATGCAAAGTGCATAGCCAAATTTCTTTGTTCTGGCTTGTTGAAGTCAACTGCTTTATTTCCGGTGACTAGCTCCACAAGCACAACCCCAAAGCTATAAACATCACTTTTCTCATTCAATTGACCCGTAAAGAGGTATTCTGGATCCAAATATCCTAATGTTCCTTGGACGACGGTGGTAACTTGAGTTTCATCAAGAGGAATAAGTCTTGAGGCTCCAAAGTCAGAAACTTTTGCCCTATGATTGTGATCTAATAGTATGTTGGCAGATTTAATGTCGCGATGAATAATTGGAATAGAAGCAGCAGAGTGTAAATATGAGATGGCTTCGGCTGTTTCTACAGCAATCCTTAATCTAGTCTCCCATGAAAGAGGATGCTCATTCTTTAGTGGGTCTATATGTTCAAGAAGGGTGCCATTGTCCACGTACTCATAAACTAATAAAGGAACTTCCGTTTCAAGACAACACCCAAAAAGTTTGACCACACTCCTATGGTTAATTTGGGAAAGTACAGCCACTTCATTGATAAAATCCTTAATCTGTCTAGGATCCCCACCTATTCTGGACTTTTTGATGGCAACAAGCGTGTTATCTGGTAATATACCCTTATAAACTGTGCCTTGTCCTCCACGGCCAAGAATTCTACTTTCATCAAAGTTGTTTGTAGCAGTTTTAAGCTCATCTTCAGAAAAAATCTTGGCTCTATCAGTATGTCCTTGTTGTTGATAAATTTGCTGCAGCAGATAATTTCCTCCATTTTGCTCAAAATACTTCCTTCTAAGTTGTTTTAGTGATCTTTGCTTGTGTCCCCAGCATAATGTGGAGACAAATGTGAAGACAAAAAGCAAGGCAACAGAAATGCCTGCAAACAAAGTTCAAAATATTATCCAGATGTAAACCATGGTTTTGGACACTAAATAATGCTAGTATGCTTTGTTTACTTCCCATCATCCCCCGGTCCAATATATTGTCTTGATTCTCTCTTGTGGGTAGAGAGATAAAGAAGCAGTGCGTGGCAATGCTTTGAATAAAAATAAACTATTCTTTAAAAATGGAAATGAGGCGTGCAAATTAACCAATGTGACATGACTGAAATAAATTGTTTGTTTGCGATTGACACATCTTAAAAAAGATAATGGCATGTCATTATAAAGCTGCTGATGTCACTGACTTTTGCGACATTATATTGCAGCTGCGAGGCCTGTTGGCTTTTATTTTTTTATTCAAGGAATGGGATGACAAACTATTTCTAAATCCAAATCAAATCGCCATCATTTTAACACAGTTAGTTAAATATATGTATATAATTAATTACTTAGCATTCTCACCCAATGAGATTTCCATGAAAGGGAATTTGCAGCCTGATCCGTCGATATAGCCGTCGCCTCTGTAACCCGGCGGACAAGAACACGTGTAACTTCCTTCCGCATTGTGGCATCTCCTGCTGCAGCGATGCTTCCCGTCATCGCACTCGTTAGTATCTGCAAAATTAATATAATGCTTAAGCTCATTATACAAATCTGAATCTCTAAGCACAGGAGCTATATCTCAAACAAACATAGCGGAAGAGCTTGCTTATTATATCTCTTTGGCACTTAAAAACAAGTGAGAAGAGCCAACAAATCAAAGCTGAATATAGCACACGCATATAGACAAATAAACGTGGTTTGAAAGTTAAAAACAGAAGCTTTGTTCGGAAAGCTGAGGCGTATATACCTTTGCAGCCAGGATCGGGGTGAGACAGGTAGGGGTTGCCTGTGAAACCTTCTTTACAAACGCAGTAGTACCCCATACCACTTTCTGAGCTTTTGCATGTACTGTTTTGCTTGCAGGCATAGCTGCTCTGATCTTTCTGGGCTTCATGGCATGTCTGATTGGCAACAGCCCAATCCACAACAACGGGAAACTGTCTTCTGTTGCCCAGATCTAGCAGGTCTCGTTTTGAGAAGTTGAAGGATCCTTCCTTGGCAACAAAGGCATAACCGCAAGGGTTGAAGTTATGCACGTCCGTGTAGTTGCTAAAACTCATCAAGGTGATATTATAATTCTTGATGGCTTGGGGGAAATTGGTCTGGCAGCATCCCACACCGGAGCATGCCCCCTCCTCGAACCTCGTCCTCCTCGTGCAACTCAACATGCAGCCTGTTGTAAAGCTGCTGTTCAGGTCCTGGAAGTAAGCGTAGGTGTCACAGCCCACCACCGTGAAGCTGTTCTTCGTGTTTGATATTGAAAAGTTCCTGAACCAAATTACGTGCCACGGAAACCCATTCTTTGAATTATAGCAGTGGTTGGAAACATTATCCGAGAAGGTCAATTCAGGAGGATCAATGGAGATGTCCAGAACTGGTAAGTTAATACCGTAAATCAAACTTGTTGTGGCTTGTCCAGATGATGTCGTGGTGGTTGTGCAGTTCACGAAAAACCTTTCATTCATGTAGCAGTTCTTGCTGGTGCCAAAGGGATAGGGGATGCTCACGTTCCCACAAGTGTCTTCGCAACCGCGTTTCGTTTGGGCCGCCGCCGCCGCCGCCGTGCAGACCAGCAAAACCAGTTTAAAGTGCAGGGCACTCAAACTCATCTCAGAGATTCGTGGTGTGGATATATATGCAGGAATAATTAAGAGCTGGGTAGGATGGTATTATATATAGAACACGCAGCTTCGTTTGTAATGACACACAAGGACGAAGGAAGGAGCTCGTAGATCGACGACTTGACCTGGTTTTCCACAGTGCATATCCAAATCATTGTCACAAAAGGTCTTGGTCTTCTCTCTTTGGTTGTGTTTGGCACGAGGGATTTGAAGAGAAAAAGAAAGAGGAAGAGGGATTTTACTCATGTTCGCTTGTTTGGCAACCCAAAATTCGTAGGAGGGAAGGAAAAATTTTCCCTTATAACTCTCCTCTCCCCTTATAACTCTCCCCTCCAAAATTTGGGGGGATTAGAAGGGAAAATATATACTTCTATTTTGTTTTGGCTAAATGGTCCATGGTTATTTTTAATATTCTTATCCTATTTTTTTTGCCTTTCTTCCTTGTCCCATCTCACCTAATATTAAGTAAAAATTGTGAACTAATAGTGCCATAAAAACTTATTCTTTCAATGAGTTGTGTGCGTGTGTGTATATGTAATATATATATATGTATTAAGTTTAGTTATTATTACATATATATATTATAATTGTAATATTTATAATTATTATGCTATGTATACTGGAAGCATGGTTATAACTTATAAACGATACTTTTACATAATAAATGTAATTTATTATTATATTTTATTAAACATTATGAAAGGAGGAATACAAAAACAACTAAAATCGAATAAAGATAAAATTGTCCATATAAAAATATTTTTCCTCCTTTCTCCTCCTAAACTAAATAAGAAAATAACATTAAAATCTATCTCTTTCTCTTTCTTTTTTTTCCCGGATCAATTCAGGTGAGTCGATATTAAAATCTTTTTCATTTCCCTTACTTTCCATTCTATCTATTAAAATCCCTCCTCTCCCCTTCTTTCCATTAAGCCAAAGAGAACCTTATAGCTTACTTCTGAAACTCCAGTCAAAATTAACGTACGCTTCGTCGCTTCCTTTTTCTTTTGTCAAGTTTTTCCACAAAGACTTTATATATGGTCATAGCCCCGTTGGCGTGTGGAATGGTTGCACTCTCCACTTTGCTTCCCGTTAATTTCCCTCCACTTGCGTAAAACGGCGCCTTTTTGCATTTCCCTCGTGGAAGATCCTTGTCGATGCAGAGATTTACTGGTTTTTCATGCTTTATTTGGTGATCCGTCTCAAAGGTACATTTTTTTTTTATATAATAAAGTTTAGGTGAGTAAGGTTGCTGATCGGCTCATCAGGGCTAATATATGTCTTCAAATTTAAAGAGCGCTTATAGAAATATTTAAAGATCACCTATCAATAAGGTCTTCTTATTGGCAATGGGATTTGAATTCATGGCTCATGATATTATGGTTTATAAGTAAATTTCTTATCAATTGAATCAACTATTGTTGGCAACTTTTATCTTTTTTATTTTCTCCGCCAAGTATCATCTCCTTGTATTTGAATTAAAAAAAGTTGGGACTTCATATAATATAATGTGGCTCAAAAATGTTCATATCATTCTTCTAAGTTATGAAATTATGTATCGAAGTTTCGTAGTTACATGCATAATCTATTTTATGAACGCATAATATCGTATTTGGTTTAAGCAAACATTTTAAGCAACAACATGTAGGAGTCTCTCAAACATGGGCTATAGATATTCAGGACTCAGGAGCCTAAGCTAAGCTAGAGAGTTAATTACAATATAAGATCACTAGAAGGCCACCTCTATGTCGGCACGTTTAAGTGAAAGCCAGATCATTCAAGTACGCATGTAATGATGCACAAGGGTGTTTGGAATCTCCTTGAAAACCATTTTTACGCTTAATATATGATAAAATTTTTATTACATATTTGTTTAATGCAGCATAAAATTACTTAAAATAGACTAGTCTAAAACCATAAAACACGTGTCCAAATCATTTTCGCAGCATGATATCGAGCCATGGACGCCATACATATATATATATATATATATATATATGGCCCTTCTCTCCTTCCAAAATTACGTGTTTACTTTGTCTCTCTCTCTCTCTCTATAAATATATATTATTTTTAATCCTTAATATAAGAGTTAGTTGACTAATTTGAGTAGATTAAAAAAAATTATTAAGTTAGTTATTTGTAATAAATGAGTGTTTTCTTCCCTAAAATACTCTTGCAAATTAAGTGTATTAGCTTTAATATTTGATAAAACTTTTAATATATGTAACTACTACAAGGACTACTTTAGAAAAAAAAGAATAAATATGAGAGATAAAGTGGATTGGGATCTTATATTTAGAAACAAATTGAAAGTCAAACTAGTTTTTGTATTATGAATTCGAGGTAGTATACATATATATACATATATTTTATTATAAGCATCTAGCTTCTTCCTCTTACTTTATGTAATTTCAACTGGTTGCAACTATTTTTAATCCAATAAGTATATGTACATGTACGTATATGTGTACATACAGTATTGATTCTATTTATAGGGATTAAGACCTATTAATATTTGACACCTATCAAAGCAGGGAAGCAGCTAGGGGTTGTGTTCAACACCACCAAATTCAGACGAAGTCCGGCCCCTGCATAAATTGACGCTGTTGTTTGCCTGTCCTATACGCCTACAGCTGTTTTTTTTTCCTCCTCTATATATACAATTTAAATAATACATGCGCGGGCACAAACATCTTAAAAGTATGTTCAAGTTTAAGACCTTATCCAAACATGATGTGTGGCGCTGCTACTAATTAAAACAACTTCTTGTGATCGAACTCATCGATCTGTGTGTTATGTACTTGAGGTTTGAATGCATGGTGCATGTGGCACCTTAATGCATTTGTCCCTCTCCAGATCCATCCTATGATTTTATTTTTGGAATCATACTGATGATCAGTCTATCACTCTTTCCATCTCATTCCTATGTATGGAGCATTTTGGACTCGTAAGGTACTGCTATTTTTTTTTTCCCAATCTGCTTCTCCTCCTCTTTTCGTCTTCTAAAAATAAATTCCTTCTAACCGAATATGATCTTAACATAACTTTTGTCATGTATGAGTCCTTAGATGTAACTTTTCCGTTTATTTTGTTGTAAACAACTCTATATATGCCTTAATCATTCGTATGCATTATTGCGCACACATCAAGTTTGTAGCATGGCGCTTACGTGGAGTAACTATTTAAACAAGCAGATAAGACAGAGCGCATCGATCAATTGTATATATGTCCAAAAATCTTGAATGAACTTCAGAGAATTATTATTAGGACTCGCTTTTATATATATATATATGATGTTTGTAATGCTCAAAAAAATTATTATTCAGTAATTAATATTTTTTAAAAGTAAAAGTATTGGTCACTATTTTAACATCTAAATATTATGTTCTCTCTGCATAAAATAACCGGGACCTGGGGGGTGGGGAGATAGACTCAAATCATTATCAAGCCGTAGAACTTCGGGATTTGATAATGTTAACTTACTTTTATCCTTAATAACCGAACATTTTTAAAATCCTTACAAGTCCTTTCAAAACAGTGTAATTACCTGAAACTCCTACACTAGCACAGAGTGGAAAGAGTAGCAGCTAAAACACAAGAGAAATACTAACATTAAATGGTCGTCGCCCATCTGCAATCTCAAATTCCATTTGTTTCTGTATGCTATCATAGCCAGCTAAAGTGTTGGCACTAGCATTTCCATATCCACCATTATAGCCAACTGAGAAGTGCCAGCACCAGCATTCCCATATCTGCTGCCCACGTGACCAACACAATATTCACATACTTCAGACATCATATTTAATGTCCTAAATTAATTTTTAGGATTTATGTAGTAAAAAAATTTTCTAAAATAAAATAAATAAAATAAAATAAAAATATAAAAATATAATATAAATAATAATTTTTTTTATTATAATAAAATAATAATATTTTATATTTAAAAAAAAAGAGGAGAAGGGAAGAGTCAACAAAAACGATGGAAAGAGATCGAATAAAGAAGAAGAAGGAAAGTTGGGAGAGAGAATTGATGAGGGGGCCTAATAAATGTTCCCCGATGCATGAGAGAAAGGGAAAGAGAGAGTAGTGTGCGTAAAAGAGCAAGAGGAGCATACCGGTGAAGGAGAGGACAAGCTTTGAAGATATTTTAGACACATAAAATTACTTTTTTTCATCAAATTTGTTTTATGAATATTTTCTATATATGTTAAGCTTCCTATTCACATTATTATCATAGTGATTAGAGAAAATTTTGAGACTTATAAGTTTTGAGTTTTGGTAATAAAGGGTTAAGGTGCGTCCAGCACCCCAAACTATTTTTCCAGGTACACTCAGTGTCCTAAAGTAATTTTCGGTGCATCCAATGTCCCAAACTAATTAAAACGGTGCATCCATATCCCGGGTTAACAGAAAAGTCAAATTTGATAGTTATTTGCTGACTCAGCCAAAGGTTGACCGACGTGGCGGACACGTTGGCGTCTGATGTGTATTATTTTGACTGGCCAAGGTGCACCCACCACCCAGAACTATTTTTCTAGGTGCAACCAGTGTTCTAAAGTAATTTTTTATGTATCCAGTGTCTTAAACTAATTAAAATAGTGCGTCCACATCCAGGCTAACAGAAAAGTCTCGTTTGATCGTTACCTTACTAACTCAATTGAAGATTGACACAAAATCGTACATGACGGACACACAGGCATCTGATGTGTATTATTTTGACTGAAAATTCAATTATTTCCTCCTCTTCTAACATTTATCTTCTGCCAGTTTTAAAACTTAAAAAAAGAAAGATCACCGATCCACCCTCTTAAATCTTGGTACATGTACCACTCATTCAATCCTATCCTCGTCTTTAAGATTTTATCCCGCTTCTTCTACCACACGCTTCCATCTCCGTCTCTATCAACTCCTCATTTGACTCGCGTTTGTTTTCCTCCTCCTAGAACATAGTGAACATTCCCCTGGTCACTTTGTCAACATCGTGGTCA